GATACCCAGTTCGACCGCATAGTCGACTTGGAGATTAGGCTAACTGCTGAGCATAATATGCTGGAGGTTGCGCGGTTGGAGATAGAGCGACAGAGGTCTAGAGTGACCCGACTTGCTGAGGGGATTCGTGATAGGAGTGCTAGCATCAGGGCTGATGCTTCTATGCTTATGGATGAGGCCACTAGTTACCTTCAGGATAACGAGCAGGCAGGCACGGAGGAGGATCCGGAGGAGGATCCAGAGGACGATCCGGAGGAGGATCCAACTGAGGACATTGCTCCTGATAGCCCTGCTGAGGGTTAGATTAGGATTGACTTGGTAGTATTAGATAGGTAGGATCAGAACAGCGACATTAGTCAAGTCATCAAATTTTGTCTAGGTGAATGACTTGCTTCCGATGCACCATATCCCTACTTTTTGTTTAAGGGATTATTTGTATGTATTTTTGCTAACTTATGTGCCTTACTTTTGGAAATGTTCCAACTTGTTAATTGTATGACTGTTCCACGAAAATATATGTTAAGTGTTTCATTTTCTTTTCCTCTATTTTCATGTCGGTTTTTAATCACATAACGAATCATAATAATTAAATATAAATAAAATTTTTGCCTAATTGTCTTACCCTTCAGTAATAGGCATAATTAGACAATGGATCGCCAAATGATAGGAAGGAGCCGTGGGAGACCCACTAGACAACACCCGGAAGCGGGTGGTGATAGGGAACCCGAGGTCAATCGAGACCAAGGGGCAAGAGAGAGTGGCCGGAGATCAAATGGTCACCGCAATTAACCATATCACTGATGTTTTGGAGCGCTTGACTGAACATCAAGCCTCTGGGCCAGTGCACCGCCAAGAAGGCCCAGCCGATTCCGAGGATCGGGCACTGGAGAGGTTTCTGAAGTTTGGACCTCCTAAATTCTACGGAGGACCCGAACCTGAGATAGCTGAGGGATGGTGGGAGAAAATCTCCGACATCTTCGCAGCTTTAAACTACACGGAAGAGCGGCAGGTGACTTTTGCCGCATTCCAGTTTGAAGAAGCTGCTCGCTCCTGGTGGAATCTGATTAGGACTAACTGGGACAGGAATCATACTCCAAGGACTTGGGCAAACTTCACAAGGAAGTTCAATGCCAAATTTCTTCCACCTCTCATCCAAGAAAAGAGGGAGGATGACTTCATAAAATATAACCAGGGGGCGATGAGTGTCGCCGAATATGAAGTCCAGTTCACCAAGCTATCCCGTTTTGCTCCTGAATTGGTAACCACGGAACAAAGGCGAGTCAGAAGGTTCGTACAGGGTCTGAATGTGGAAGTACAGGAAGGTTTAGCTGCCGTGAGGATAGATACTTTTGCAGATGCCGTCGAGAAAGCCCAGAGAGTTGAACTGGCTAGGGCTCAAGTGAAATCTTTTCAGGCCAAGAAAAGATTTGCTCCTAGCAGTAGTCGGGAGCCGACGTATGGCAATGCGTCCACCGGCCAAAGTGGGCCGAGGAACCATTGGAGTGAATAGTCCTGGAGCACCACGAGGCGCCCACGCAAGAGGAAACGGGGCCAGGAATGCGGGGGGACGAAATAATGGAACCAGAATGGGACCGATTGGAAGGGGACAACCTAGGAATATCTCGCAGGGAGGCCGAGCAATAGTTCCCCAAGTGAATTATGCATTTTGTAAGAAACCTGGCCATACTATAGATGGTTGCTGGAAGAAGCAAGGGAGGTGCTTGAAATGAGGAAGTAGCGAGCACCAAATTTCTGGATGTCCAAAAATACAGGAAGGGATTACTTCGAACGCTAGACTAAACACATCTGGAGGGAGCCGGCCAACAGTTCCTGCCAGGGTGTATGCTATAGATGACCAACCTGTACCTGATTCCTCGGAAGTCGTGGAAGGTACTCTCCCCATTTTTCATCGATTAGCTAAAGTGTTAATTGACCCTGGTGCAACTCATTCATTCGTAAATCCATCATTTATGTCTGGAATAGATGTGAAACCTGTTAAATTACCCTTTGATCTTGAAGTTAGGACACCAATGGATAATAAGAAGATAATCGCTAGCCTAGCCTTTAAGAATTGTGAATTCTGGATTGGAGAGCGTAAAATGCTAGTGGATCTAATCAGTCTGGACATGAAAGGGTACGATGTTATCATAGGAATGGATTTCCTAGGCCAGTATCATGCTAAGCTTGATTGCCGAGCGAAAGTGGTGAAATTCTGTATACCTGGAGAAGCAACTCTGAGGTTAGATGTTAAGGGTAGGTTAGCATCATCTGCTATGATTTCAGGGATACGGGCAAGGAAAATGTTGTCAAAAGGAGCTCAAGGTTTCTTAGCCTTCTTGATTAATGCTCTCAGTGATCAAGTGAAGTTAGAAGATGTACCAGTGGTACGGGAATTTCCGGATGTTTTTCCTGAGGAACTAAAGACTCTACCGCCGGAAAGAGAAGTGCAATTTAGGATTGACTTGGTGCCTGGAACGGCTCCAATTTCTAAAACTCCGTACCGAATGGCTCCTGCCGAACTAAAGGAGTTGAAAATTCAACTGCAAGACCTCTTGGAGAAAGGTTTTGTGAAGGAGAGTGATTCACCGTGGGGAGCAACCGTTCTATTTGTTAAGAAAAATGACGGAAGCTTGAGGTTATGTATCGATTACCGATGGTTAAATGAGATTACAATTAAGAATAAATACCCTCTACCGTTGATAGATAGTTTGTTTGACCAACTGCAAGGGTCAGTAGTTTTCTCTAAGCTGGATTTGAGGCAAGGGTATTATCAGTTAAAGATTAAGAAGGAGGATATACCCAAAACTGCTTTTAGTACGAGATATGGACATTTTGAGTTCGCAGTCATGCCTTTTGGTTTAACTAATGCACCAGCGGCATTCATGAATTTAATGCAGAGAGTCTTTAAGAAATATCTGAATCAGTTTGTAGTGGTTTTCATCGATGATATCCTGATATACTCTAAGACGCGAGAGGAACATGTTAGGCACTTGGAGATAGTCTTGCAAATACTAAGAGAGCATAGGTTGTATGCCAAATTTAGCAAGTGTGAGTTTTGGCTAGATGAAATATCTTTTCTAGGACATAAAGTTTCTAAGGAGGGAATTGCCGTGGATCCGGCAAAAGTTGAAGCCGTTATGAATTGGAAGCAGCCAGAAAGGCCAACTGAAGCTAGAAGTTTCTTGGGATTAGCAGGGTATTATAGGCGATTTATTAAGGATTTCTCGAAGATTGCTGGACCCATGACCGAGCTAACCAAGAAGGGGAATAGGTTCATTTGGACTCCGAAGTGCGAGTCAAGTTTTCAGGAATTAAAGAAGCGTTTAACATCCGCTCCTGTTTTGGTGTTACCTGATGGAGGTGAAGGTTATGCCGTGTACTCCGATGCTTCTGGAGAAGGTCTAGGATGTGTTTTAATGCAAAATGGTAAAGTGATTGCCTACGCTTCCAGGAGACTGAAGCCTCGTGAACAAAACTACCCAACTCATGACCTAGAGTTAGCAGCAGTGATTTTCGCCTTAAAGAAATGGAAACACTACTTGTATGGCGTGACTTTTGAGGTTTATACGGACCATAAGAGTCTTAAGTATTTGTTCTCCCAGAAGGAATTAAATTTGAGACAAAGGCGATGGGTAGAATTTCTGGAAGATTATGACTGTTCAATTAACTACCACCCAGGAAAAGCTAATGTGGTAGCTGACGCTCTAAATAGAAAGTCCCAAGTAGCAGGGTTAATGGTTAAGGAGTGGGATATGTTAGAGGAAATAAGTGGTTGGAACCCTCGCTTGGAGAAACTGAAGATCTTATTTGGGAATTTATCGTTAAAATCGCCATTACTAGAGCGTATTAAGGAGGCCCAGAAAACGGACCCTATGATTCAGAAGAATTTGGAGAAAGTGCAAAAAGGGGAAACCCTAGATTTTAAATTAGGGTCTGAAGGTGTATTGAGGTTCCAAGATCGAATTGTGATTTCGGCAGATGAGGAGATAAGAAAAAAAATTTTGGAAAAATCACATCGATCGAAATATACCATACATCCAGGTGTGACCAAGATGTATCATGATGTGAAGGGACTATACTGGTGGGAAGGTTTGAAAAAGGACGTAGCAGAGTTTGTTTAGAGATGTTTGATCTGTCAACAAGTAAAAGCTGAGCATCAGAAGCCCTCTGGATTGTTGCAACCGCTAGAAATCGCTGAATGGAAATGGGAACATATCACAATGGATTTTGTAACGGGATTGCCTAGAAGTAAAAAAGAATTCGATGCAATTTGGGTAATAGTTGACCGACTCACTAAATCTGCACATTTCCTACCCGTAAGCATGAACTTTTCTTTGGAAAAACTGGTCAAGTTATACACAGAAGAGATCCTAAGATTACATGGTATTCCTGTAAGTATCGTGTCTGATCGAGACCCAAGGTTTGTCTCACGTTTTTGGCAGAAATTTCAGGAGTCTTTGGGGACCAAGTTGAAATTTAGTACGGCTTACCATCCCCAAACCGACGGGCAGTCGGAAAGAACAATTCAAACTTTGGAAGATATGCTGAGGTCGTGTATATTAGATTTTGGAGGTAAATGGAGTAATTATATGACCCTAGTAGAATTTGCATATAACAACAGTTATCAAGTCTCAATTCAAATGGAACCTTATGAAGCTTTGTATGGCAGAAGATGTCGATCTCCGATACATTGGGATGAAATAGGAGAAAAGAAGATTGTAGATCCAACAGCGATATCTTGGATAGAAGAAACCCAGGAGAAAGTGAAACTTATTAGGGAAAGGCTTCAAACCGCTCAGAGTAGACAAAAGAGCTACGCCGACACAAGGAGGAAAGATTTGGAATTCGAAGTAGGAGACAAGGTCTTCCTAAGAATTAAATCCTTGAAGGGCGGAGTAGTGCCTAAGAAAGGTAAGAAGCTAAAGCCAAGGTATATCGGACCTTTCGAAATTTTGAAGCGAGTTGGGAATGTAGCATATCAGTTGAAGTTACCCGCAAGCATGGCTAAGGTTCACGATGTATTTCACGTTTCCATGCTTAAGAAATATTATTCCGACCCAAGTCATGTGCTGCCCCTGGAAGGAATTGAAGTGGATGAGGCATTAACATATGAAGAAGGACCAGTCAAGATTTTGGAAAGAGAAGTAAAGGAATTGAGAAATAAGAAAATTCCTCTGGTGAAGATTTTATGGAGAAATCATGGACTTGAGGAAGCAACTTGGGAATTAGAAGAGGAAATGCAGAAAAAGTACCCTGATTTATTTCCTTAGAAAGTGTGAATTTTGAGGACAAAATTCTTGTAAGGAGGGGAGGATGTGAGAACCCTGAAAATGGATATATAAGCTAGTGTATATTTCATTTGCATTTCTTTTATTCTTTAATAATTTCCAGCATTACTTTTACTTGTTCGCAATTAAGTACGTAAAAATAGGTTTATGTGAAAATTGACACCCTTGGATTAAATTATTATTCCACTTGACTTTATATTATTAAATCGATAAATTTCGAGTTAGACTAACTCTATTCCTTGAGAAATAATAATTGGAAATTCTAAGAACTAATTTAATCGCTAAATAATATAAGAATTACTAGGAACCTTAATATTCAAGTTTAATCGATAATTATTCGATAAAAATGGTTTAGGTATATTAGGGTATAATTAGGCGTTTAAATCACGCTTGGGGATAATTTTTAGAAGTAAGTTAGAATTGAGAAATTAAGTTGAGGTTGGGGAGCAAAGTGAAAAGACTAAAATGCCCTTACAATTTCATGCAAACCAAACGAAACCTTTGACCGCAAGTTTAATCACTGCAACTATCGCCAATTCTATACGCAATCGATTCTTACACGAAACCTCTGCTCCTTAAACCACGGCACCACAATACCGTTCTCTCTATTTCACGTCTAAAACCACAATTCCAATTCCTTCTCTACACAAGCAAACCGCAAACCATTTCCTTCCTTCTTAATACCGAGATACTGACTCTTCATCATCTCATTTCCTTTGCACAATTTCACCGCAGCTGCTACTCTTCCTCTCCACAACCACACCTCACCTCTTCTTCTACCTTAGACCGAGAGCATCCGAGAGAGAGGGTTACCTGGTGAGCTGCATCCGAGAGCAAGGGAGAAGGGATCGCAAGCTGCCATTTCTTCCTTTCTGTTCTGACCGTAAGTTGAGGGAAAATACCAGGAACCATCGCACCTTTTCTCTACTAGCTGTGGCCAATTCCAACTCCACTCAACCGAGCTCAACCTCACCACAACACCACTCCAGCCGCAACTCAGGAACCAGGACAACCGACTGCACTTGAAACCGAGAGCAAGGAAGGAAAAATTCTGGAATTTTCGTGTGCGAGATTAGCTGTTATCTGAGGTAATTTCCGGACCAATTAGGTTGAATTCTAGTAGAGGAAGCTATATCTGAGCTTGCATGTAAGGATTGTGCAGACGGATGTTGAAATCAAACCATTAGAAAAATTTCTGTTCGGTTAAAATGTTGCTGCCGAGAAACTGAAGTGATATTGCAACTCCATTTTTGTTTTTCGTGACAATCTGAACACCTGAGTGTCATTAGCTGAGTGAAAACTTGAAGATTAAGACCCTGCATGTTGATTTGTGCATTCGGATGATGTGGTTAAAGCAAAGAAAAATTTCTGTTTTGGTTAAAAATTTCTGCCGAGGAGCTGGCTTGAAATTGTAGTTTTATTTCTGACTTCCTGCGACAATCTGAGTTTGATTAGGTGTTTAACTAATCAAAAACAAGAAGTTTAAGTTATCTAAGAACTTGCATGTGGATGATAGGCAGCCGGATGGGAGTTTTAAGAAAAGAAGTTCGGTTATGTGCATGTTTTGGAGCTGCCGAGAGCTTAGCTTGTTTATGGCAGCCTGATTTGGTTCAATTTTATTGTTTGAGCTTACAACCATAATTATATAGTTAATCACAAGTTAATTAGGCTCTGCATGCGGCTAATTAGTTAGTTTAAACCAGAAAAAAAAATGAAATCAAAGTGTAATCTGCCAAGCATGTTCATCCGAGTCAAGCAGGAAAATTTTAGAAAATTTTGATGTTAATGGTTGTTGTTTGAACTCGATTTCTGAACTGGAAATGTTTATTTTCTAGCTAAGTAATTGCATGAGGGAGTTGAGAGTTTAAAAGCATGTTTTAACCCAGAAAATAAAATGAAAACAGAACATCTCTTCATGCATGTTCATCCGTGGCTGATGGACAAAATTTCTGGATTTTTTTCTGGATAATTTTAGTTGCTGAATGAATCTAGTTTTGAAGTGGAAATTTTTACTAGCTAGCTAAGTGTTAAATGCTGAATTTGAGTACCTAACACCATGTTTAAACCAAGGGAAAATTTAATCTAAAGTATATTAGTTGCTGGAAAACTTTGGAAGCCGCAAGTTGGAACCAGAGATTTCAGTTTGTTTTAGAAGTTTAATTGGTTTCTGAAAATTTATTTTATTTTTTTTCCTTGGAATATAATGGTTTAGAAATACCGAGGAGTTGTAAGTATTAAGTTGTGTAAGTTGTTTAGCAATGAAATATTTGATAAATTGAAGATGGAACCAGAAAATGTTGGTTTATACATGCTGGAATTTCTTTTGTGGTAGCCGAAGGGTGAGTTGGAATCTTAGCTTGGCTTTTAAATTTTTTTTCCTTGAAACATGATGGATGGAAATGCCTGGAATATGTTGTTTTGGAGTTTTATAAGAAATGTATGAATGTCCTGTTTCTTCGTGAAACTGAAATTGGGTTTGGATCGAACTTTTAGCTTACTTGTGGTTTAAATTCTTAATTGAATTGTGGTTGGAAGTAATTGGTGTTGTCAAGGGCTAATGATTGATGAAACCCTTGGCCATTTGAATGATTTTATAAGTATTACTGGGTGATGAAATTTAATTGCTAGAATTTCTTGGAGGCCTTGCTTTTATTTTTATTTGTTTAAGCTGAGCTTGCTGAAACCAAGTGCTAATGATAGATGAAGCCTTGGTCATTCATTTTATTTTTATCAGAAATGCATTTGTTGAAATCTAGGGCTAATGATTGACGAATCCCTAGTGATTTGCTATGTGATTTTGCCATATTTGATCCATAATATGATTTCAAAACGGAATCGGAGCTGTGAAAGTCGTTTCTACCTTGCGAACTCGAGTAACTATGATCAAATTAATCAAAAATATTTTCCATCTAGTATTAAATTATAAAAACTCAATATCTAGTGTTTTGCCTAAAACTTTCCAACCCGATAATTTCCTTTAGCTCAAACTAGCCTTATTACCTTGGAAAAATGATTTTCCTAGTTTCTAAAACTCTAGCCTTGTTTTACTCCTTTTCTTTTCTCTAAGAATTGTCCTTGGCTAGTTAACTATAGGAAAAGTGCCAAAATACGAGTTTTAATAATTTTAGTTAAAAAGCATAGAAACTTGCTCGGCAAGAAACCTTATTTTTCTAGGTAAAATAGTTTTAGTAATAATTTTAGCAAAAACCATAGCTTTAAAGAAATGTTCAAAATAACTTCCTAACGTGGATTTTAAGAGGTTTGTCGACTTATCTCAAGAAAATAATATTAGTTACCCTTTTATAAGGAAAAGTATTTTAAGGAAAACTATAATAAACATTTCTTCTACTTTTGTCAAATTTTAACCTAAAGGACTCTTGATTCTTCTAAGGAAAAGTAGACTAGTAGTATATTAGATATACCTCGACGTCTATAAGCTTAAAAACTGAGTAGAATCTTATAGTTTCAAAATTTTGATTTTTAGGATATTGCGAGGACGCGGAATTCGATTTCCAACTTGATATCTGAACTCCACTCTTGGTGAGTGTCCCTGCCTGTTCTATGTTTACCTGGTTAAAGTGCTTTCTTGACTCAATACGTGATAATTTGCAAAACTAGTTTTTGATCCATCAAAATGAGCAGTGTGTACTTTATCGCACTAGCCGTTCGAGTGGTGACTTGCGTAAATCATTTTCTCGTGAATCCATAAATCTAAATGTAGTTACGTCGTTGGGTGAATCCCTCGACGCATGAATCTAACTACCATAAATCTAATCTAAATGTAGTTACGTCGTTGGGTGAATCCCTCGACGCGTGAATCTAACTACCATAAATCTAAATGTAGTTACGTCGTTGGGTGAATCCCTCGACGCGTGAATCTAACTACAATAATGTCGTTGGGTGAATCCCTCGACCAATCATCTACGAGTATATCTCGAGTATACTGCGTCCTTAGTTGGCGAGCGGGCCCGGGACAGGGGTATGAACGGTGACGGGTTAGGATTAAAATGAGTGGATCTACATGGATTATAAGTAGTGAGAGTTGATGGAGGGTCAACTACGATAAATGGTGATCAAGCGAGGAAAGTGGCTCCTAAGAGCCCATGTATCCTACCTTGTGCTGTTATCCGCTTTCCTAATTGTTTAAATTTGCTATGTCATTAACCGCTGTTTGTTATTACGTGATTGCATGTTTTGGGGCACCACTGAGCATTAACTCACCCCACGTTTATTGTTTTCCTTAACAGGTTCTGGAAACTGAAAGTTGGATGCTTACTTTTGTTTTCCTTTTGGAATGTATTTGAATACTATGACTTATTCTGTGGGCTATAATGTGTTAATTGGGATAATGTACTTTTCTTTTGTATTGCCACTTGAAGCTGGAAAATGTGTAAACCCTAATTCGATTGCTTGGCTTGTAAGTTTGTATTATGAATTTATGTGTTTATCTATTCGGTTTGGTACGACTTTATACTTTGGTACGTGGCACGTGGGACGTTTAAGAGTCTCGACTGGTTAATTTATCATTGCTATCTCTGAAGTTAATGTGGATTTAAGGAAGATCTTATTCGGGGAAAATTGTTTTGTAATAGATTAGGATATTCTTCGAAGGGATTTGGGTTAGAATGCTTGCGTGAGTCCTGGCGAGAGTTGGGCAGACGGCCCGCCAACCCTTTGGTTCGCCTCAGGGGGAAATGGGGTCGCCACAGGCTATTTCTCAGTCTAAAGAGCACCAAATTGGATGATTCTTGATGCATTGGAAAACTAACTCAAAGCGTTACAATTTCACATTTTATACAAGAGTTGGGTCAGCTTCCATCATCAAGAAAATATCAGGAGATTTTGGTGCAAAAATA